TTTTATGATAGTATAACATTATAACATGATATAAAACTCAAAAAAGTTCATTTTACATGATATTGCCCCTTTAAGTCTTTCTGCTTATAATGTTTTTAGTCAAGACTGTGAATGTTCATACAGCCTTTCACTCCAACTAGATGAGAAACCTAGTAGTCAGTAAGTGAATGCACAAGAAGTACCTTTTCAGACACACCATATGGACAGAACATCAAGTTTAACCCATGAYCTGTGAATGTCTAATGATTCACAAGGTGTCTTTTGTCAGGTAATTGGTGGAACATGAGATACCCAGTGTGGCCTGAGCACATAAATCCTGGAAATCAAATAAATCATTCTCACGAGTTGACTTCCTGTTTGAGACAGCAGCTTTAAGAGCAGGAATGTGCGGATAATGGCGCTTGAGGTAAATCCCCTTTTACCATAACTTTCCACCTGGTTTAAATCAAAAAGCGATGACAATTTAATTACTCTGTTTTCAAGGACCTAACGTAATACCTGTCCGTCGWCCGTTTCCTGAAAGCATCTTCCAACGTGTCCATTCTGACGGAAAGGAGCTGTGGTGTGACCGTTCCACTGGCTGCTGCTCTGCGGGTGTCTGCTGTTGTGTTCGCTGGTGTGTTCGTGGCCATTTCCTGGCTGGGAGCGCTGCTGGACAGAGTGAGCCCCATCTGTAGTGGCTGGCCTCTGTCCAGGTTGGACTCGAGCTACTTGGTGGACRTGGACCTCGGCCTCTGGTGGGTGCTTGATGTGGACGTTCACCAAAGACGGGTGGAGAGACCCTTGAGAGAGAAAGAGATCCAGAGTTTACAGAAAATGTGGAAAATAGTTTAGAATTTAAAACTTGCCATTCTGTGACTAGAAGCATCAACAGTCAAAAGATGAAAACTAAGTTTACAAAACACAATTTTTGAGCTGTCAGATAGCATCWAACACAGATTTGTTCAATAAACACGATTCATCTTCAATTTATGACATCTAGGCAATTCCTGGCAGTGAGCTACTGCAAAACAATTACAAATGTTTGGGATTTTTTTTTCTTTTTTGAATCAAATCAATTTAAACACCAGAAACAAGTTTATTGTAGTGCCGAAAACATGTTGCAATGTCTAGAATGAGATCTTTTGTCTCTCTGACAGAGGGGAAGTATCCATCTTCAGGGAGAGCCAGGGTTTTTTCCCAGAATCCCAACCCACTCTCATAAATCATAAACTTACAGACAGACGGCRAAGTCCAAGCGAAGAACAGAAATTTTAAAGGGGTCCCAAATTTAAATCTGTGTATAATTTTGACAAAGTGGTTTCATTGCTTGACAAAACAACACGGACATTTAACTCTTAAATCGGCTTCTTTTTACAGTTTCAGATAGAGTGACTGAACTTTAAAAAAGCCAAACCAAGAAGCAAATAGTTTATTTTTATTGATGGAACAAGATTACGAAGTGTCCCAGATCTGTTACTGATAACCACTTCTGTTTGGATAAAAAAAGAAGGATCGTGCAGACTGTGTGTGGACTTCCACTGAGTCATTTATTAGTTAATTTGCTAAAAAAATAGCCTGGCCTCTGCAGCTGTTCCAGAGCACCACACTGTAAACAGTGCTGAAAAACTGAAAACTAGACTAGTGTGCTTTGAAAAAAATTATGGAATCATTCTGATTCACAAGCTTGCTTTGATAAAATGATATTTGTATGGCATTTAAATATTTGGTGTTGGAGATAAACTCGCTACAAATCAAACTGAGACCCAGACAATCCATGCTTTATCTGAGTTGTATAAGCATTTTTGTTTTGTTTTGTTTTGTTTTGTTTTTGTTTCTTTACAATTTTGTGTCAGAGGACAAAAATACTGACTTCAGGTTCTAAGTTAGCGTTTTCTTAAAGTTAGCTCTTGAGCTGTCTGCACATTTGTCACCAAGCTGAGACAGATGTTAAATATTTGCAGAAAACCTGAATTRTAACTTTAATATTATGGATGCATTCAAGGATAAATGCAAATCAGCATACACCAACAGCATGGTAGTAAATTTGTAGCTGTTGAAGCTCATTAATAAAAAAAAAAGTTTTGTTATGAAATAACGCTTCATTCAAATTTTGGGGGCGGGGGGTGGGGGGTATTTATTTTCCAGGCACATAGTTCATTTCTAGTAACTATGTTACCTTCATTTGTTATAAAAATGCTGTACATATCAAAAATAAAATTGACTTTGCATCATAGTCTGTCTAAACACCTTGAAAATGGTCTCTGTCTCTTTAAGAACCGCCTACTGTTTCTGACACTTTCACTTCAGCACATCTTAACAACAGTGTTGGAGGGGAGGGGGGCTCTGTATGTAAGAAGAGAGCACAGCTGCAGACTGAGCTCCAGGGAGGAGCTTTGTGTAACTAGGCGGGGCTTTGTACCAGCAAATGTTTAGGTAGCTTCAAATGGTTACCAGAGGAGATTCAAGGATTTTTTAAACAAGCATGAATGAGTCAAAGCAAAAATCTGGGTATGTTTTTGAGGCTCAAAAACGTACATTCTGTATAATACCCCCATCCCCTTTAAGTTATCAAATACATTTTCATTAGAATATTAACTCAAAATTGATTTGACAAAACTATTTTTTAATTTTTTGCAATTAAAAGTCCATCATTGCAAGCTCCGCCCTCTCACTGTTTACCTTGTTGATTGGACAGCGGCAGAGTGTACATAGAGTGGGACGGGGATTTGTGGCCCTGCTGGCTCGCATCCTTGTGGCTGTGAGGAGTGGGTTTGGCGGGAGGCGGCACCGGGAGGTGGCAAAACTTCCCCGTCGAGTTTGACGGACACCAGCACAGGTCTCTGCCAATGCACTTGCCTCCATTCATGCAGGGTATCTGACAGAAGACTGCAACGAGGGAACAAAAACAGGGAGAATAGCAAACACATTGAACATCTCAGAACCTCAAGAATCTGCCAATAAGAAACTAGAAGAGCAGTGCTAATAGAAAGGCTCTGTTTCTAAAGCTCAGGCTTCGTTTGCAAACAGTAGGCAGAGTCCACTCAAGTTTTTACCAGACACCTCGTTTTATGTGACATTTATGAGGTTTCAACTAAGTCCTGAGGACAGAGGCATTGCTCCTCATGCTTCACCTCTTTCACAAGCATGATTCTGCCCTGCAGTACATTGATAATTACATATTCCTGAACAGACTGGTGAGTGATGATCAGTGACTCAGTCAGTAATAAATATAAGAAAATAATAAGTGCATGGATATTTAAATGTAACATTGGTCTTRCTTGCAGAAGAGATGAAATGTGATTTTTCCAGAATATTAAATCTTGGACAAATTTAAAAGCCCTGTTACACTATAATATTTTAGACAACTTATGAAAAAGACATCTAAATTGAAGATAGAAATAAAAAACTCAACTGGAAGCCTCTTTTAGGTGTGTACATACTATGATGCTAACAAATTTATCAACTATATAACTTTCAGAGGTTTATAGTAACTAAGTACATTTACTTATTTACAGTACTTAAGTAGTTTATTGAGGATTTGTAATTTTACCAATTATTAWTTTAAACAGCTACTTTTACTTTTATTTCGTTACATTTTAAAGCTAAAAATGATAYTTTTACTTCTTTACTTTAAAATGGAACACCTAGTTACTTTTTACAAATTAAATATGTTCAAACTCATCATGAAAGAGGATGTTTCTGCACTCTAAAAAAATAAAGTGTTGAATTTACTCAACAGAGTCATGTGAACTGGTTCCACTAAGCCTAGTTGAATAAACTGAGCAAAGAATATACATACATCGTTCAATTTACTCAACCTGGCTTAGTGGAACCAGTTTGGTTCGGTAAATTCAACAGTTTATTTCTTGGAGAGTGTGTAAAAGTACTTTAACTTTTACTTTCCCAACTTTTGTGAACAGTTTTGTGGTGAGTAGTTTTCTCGTCAGTGAAATTTCTTTTTACCAAGTCATTTTCTGTTCATGTAATTTTATTTTTAGTTATTTTTTCAAGTCCTTTATAGACCTTTGATAACTTTTATTAGTAATTTAGACATTGAAGTTTCATATGTTGGAATAAGTTGTCTAGAACGTTATAGTGCGACAGAAACAAAGAGCAAGCGTATCCAAAGAAACGTATCCTACAAAGAATCCTCTGTCTAGAATTTGATTTATAGCTTAAAATTCACTACTAAGAAAAAGAAAATTGGCATTTTCACAAAAGTTTTAAAACCCCTTAGTTTAGAGATGGGTGCCAGGCCAGCACTCTGCATACCTGGGCCTGCTCCCATAGCATTGCTCTGACATGACCTCTTCAAAAAGGCCAACATCAAAGAAAATTAAATGAAATTAAAAAACAACTTTATCCAGCTAGAATTAAAAAAAAAAAGAAACTATTTGGGGGCAAGAACAATAACCTTTTTTCAGCCTTAAGCCGTAACACAGCTCAAACACGAGGGAATGTTTTAGTCAGATATGTGAATGGCTCAGATGAAAGAAGCTGCTTGTCATGAAATCATGCTGGAAGCTGCGTCCGAAGCTCTGCCTCGCTGAGACAGCCAGTAACGCACAGGGTGCAAACAGAGGGGTCTGGACAGCCTCTCTGACTTGTAGAGATCCCTGTCTGACAGCATTCGTAGCATCAACAACAGAGAAAGTAGAAGGAAATAAAATGGAAGCGTACCAAAGATTAAAAGCCATTATAAAAAAAATGTTAACAACACAAATTGAAGACAGAGGAAAGAACAAAAAGAGATCACAGCTGAAACAAAAAAAAAAGAAGTGGAAAACCAGACATAGAGGCTAGAGCCAGTAAGTACTGGTGTSCAGACACATAAGAAGACCTCTTGTGATTCGACATGCTGGCTAAATTATCAACTAAAAAAAAGGCTATTAAAAAACATTTTAATGTGAGATGCATGTCTGCGCTGGTTTGTGTCAAATCAGTTTCAAACTTTAACAAGGCAGAAAACATTTTTTAAACCAAATCCGCGCACGGCACTCTGTTTGAGCATTTAACAACCTCTGATAAACACAATTTTCACTCCATAAACACACCTAATATCTGCCCTTTAAAGTAACTGCTGTGAGGAAAAGCGAGCCTGTCACAAAATCATGCTGCTGGGTTTTACGGCAAGCATGTAGGCAACATAGCAGCCGCATGAGATAACTGCTCGCCGTCCACTTGACATTCCAGGACGAGCACGCACTCAGGAAAAGGAACAAAAAACAGCATGCGAGCCTAAATGGAAAGCAATCTCTTTTTAATGCGCTCTTTAACACGTGCTTTCACGTAATAAGGTGAGATTTGAGGGGGCCGAGTAAGGGCATTAAAAACAAAACACTGAGAAAGAAGAGGCGGTGGAAGGAATGTAATGTTTGAGAAGGTCTCTGTCAAGAAGTGTTTAGAAAATAGATGTCRCGTGTTTGAGTTTATAAGACGTCTAAGACGTAGGGTGGGTGGAACAAACTCCTTCTACTGCAAACCCACGAATAAGTCTTCATTTTTATCTGATTGATGAGAAAACTAAGAAACAAGCAGGGCTGTGACCCTCCCCTTGGCATTGACCGCCCCCTCCCTTCTCATAGACACTCCCGTTCAAATTTGGAGCAAAGCCCCCTGGATAAATGGCAGGTTTAATGTAATCCCCATAAAAACCCTGTTCATGCTGCTACTCTTTCTCCCTTTCTGCCTCCGCGTCCATTCTTTCATTCATTCCTGCTCTCCCAGGGAGCATGCTAAATGGTTAACAGCAGGGCCGACCGCGAGGTGCAAACYGCAAAGAGATGGGGCTGAGTGCTGGGAGCGTGGGACCACCGGCTCCACGTGTGTGTCTACAATGGGAGATTAGCCCCCTTTTATAGAGCTTTTAATCTGCTCTACCCATGCTTTCCCTGTCTATTTCTCCTCGACAGTAAGATTTGTTATTTATTTATTTATTTTTGCGTAGCTCTCAGCTTTAATCTTTACAGCTCTGCTTGTTTTCTAAGTTTAGTATTCAGACAGCATGCTCCTGGGAAACTACTGAGTCCTACTCACCCCATAGAAAAAAGAAACAAGATATTAGAATGGAGACACATGTAGTGTGTGGGAATTACAACGTAAACATGTGAGACACAGAAAAGCGGAGAATTTACAGAAGAGAAGAGCGGGAAGAGAGGGCCTGGAGTTACAAACTCACAGAGTCTGAAGCCTTGATTCTTTGGCTGCTGCTGCTGCAGCTGCAGCTGCTGCTGCGAGTTCTCGCTGTACACCGTGGTGATGTCTCCCTTCTCGCAGCTGTTGTAGCAGCGGCCGCCACTGCACAGCCGACGACACAGCATGGGGGTGAAGACGATCTTGATGCGGTCCAGGCTGGACGTGAGGTTGGCCCCTGGAAGACACACACACATCTGCTTGAGGAGCAGCAGCAGGAGAGGCARGCCGGAGGAGAACTGCATCTTTCCTCCTTCAGCCTCGCAGTGACACACTCCTCATCTGGATGAAGGTTTATAAGTGCGCGAGGGTGTGTTACTGACGATTGGCCAGTGGCACGCTGCAGCGGAAAGAGCGATGTGCCACGGGGCCAGTAAAAGAAAAGAGATGAATACGATTAGGTGGCAGGCTTCCAGTCCCTTTATCTTCAAGGGAAGGTGTTTTTGGATGTGTGCGCATAAGGGAGACAAAGAAAGAGTAAGTGCAAGTGAACGCCGCATGATTGTGGGAATCTGTTTAACAGCCRTTGCCCTGGCACAGGGGAAATCAAAACAGAAGCCAGAACACCAGACAGCTGTTTGCAACTGACACATCAGAGAGAAGTGAAGTAGTGAAGCGAGGATAAAAAGCAGAAAAGCAAGGTCGAGTTTCTTTCTGCCGCGAGTGCAGGCGCCTCGGTTCGGGGCCTGTCGTGTAGGAAAGGTGACGCAAAGTCACACAGCAGCCGTGATGTGAAATGAATGTTTGAATTGTAAAGGGGTGGACAGGGGGGTGCAACTTGGGTAGATGCCTTTTTTTACTTTTTTGTGTTTTATTATCAGTGACACAAGGGTGTGTTTGCATCTATTGTTGCAGTTAAGTGTGCAAGAATGGGAAGAGGAGGAGTAAAATATTGCCTCCCAAGTCTTAGAGATAGTTTGTTGTTCTTACCTGCTGGAAGTAACGCATTGTTGAACTGCCCATGCAGTTGGCTGTCACTGTTAGGCCTGTGATTGTTGAAAGAGTTGCCCTGCCGGTTCCTGTGTCCATGCCGGTTCCTGCGCTCGCTGTCATGGCCGTCAGCGTAGCCATTGCCACTCGGCAGAGCATTGGAGGTTATCGGTTCGGAGGATGATGGGTAACGTTTCACAGTACGGGAGGTCCCGCTCTGCTGAGGGGAGGAGTCGGGGGGTCCCCGTTTCACCTGGGTCCTGCCAATCACATCGTCACAAGACTGTGAACACATGACCTCAGTTTGTGACCCCACACACAAACTTAAAAACAATACACCCACATTAGCAATGTGCATCGCTGTGAAGTCAGCTTAAGTGTGCGGGAGAAAACAGTATTCCTAAGAGAAGMCATCTAAGTTGTGGCTTTCCCTAATTGAATTTACAGATAAACTCTTTTAATCCTAAATGAAATATTAGACTAGGATAAGTTTTTACAGGGTTTCTCAGCTAACGTTTGCTGCAGCTAGACAGACATTTTTTAAGAACAGAAAATAATAAGCTTCACAGGGAATAAGAATTACAGGTTGCATTAAAAGCATCACGTCTCACCAACATGTGACAGATGTTTATCATCAAAGAGCACAATGTCCCATACTTTCTGGTCCTGCCCATCTTATGTTGGATTTTGGTCAAAAATATTACACAAATATTCTGCATTTTGCATCTGCATAGTTTGTGTTTTGGTTTGTTTATTTTTGCAGTTCTTTAGGATTTTTTTTCTATGTGCCAATCCTCATTCACCCTCAAAGTGTCCACTGAGTTTTCTAGACATCCTTACCACCCTCACCTGTCTATAATCCGGTCTCTTCTTACATCTTCTCATTCACTGTATCGCTTCAGCTGCTGATCTTGGTCACCTGCCACATGTTCCCCTATATTCTAAGTTCTTCCGCCACGCTGGCTTTTGCTTTTAAATAAAATAAACGTTTTTATTTGCTGAGCTCCTCGAGCCTGCCTGCATTCTGGGTTCAACCCCTCCACGACCTTGTTAACACCCAGAGCCGGCTGTTCAAATCAATGGCACACTTTCAAAAATCAGTAAAAATGTCTCTGACTCTGGGGACGATCATCACTAAACATATCATAAGAATTAAAAGCGTCAGTTTCTCCATTTTTTTTCAAAAGCTGATGGCAGACATGATTCATGTGTCATTCAAATGGAAAAAACTCAAAGTGACTCAAACAATAAAGTTCAGGAAACTTGAGAACTCTTTTTTAGACCAGTGTAGTACGAGGTTTTGATTATCTTCAGTTGATTCTCTAAATAATGTAGAAAAAGAAAAAATAAGTAGGTCCTCTGGATGGGTTCTTCTTTAGTGAAACGTTTCATCTCTCCTACAAGAGACTTCTTTAGTCTGATGAGTTTCAGGTGAACTCTGCCTTATAAGCACTGCCTCCACATGGACAAAGAGGTTAGTCACATGCAAAAGATGGCCATCGCCTAACAATAGGCTTGATTAGGAGGCAGTGCTTATAAGGCTGAKTTCACCTGAAACTCATCAGACTGAAGAAGTCTCTTGGAGGAGAGACGAAACGTTTCACTAAAGAAGAACCCATCCAGAGGACCTACTTATTTTTTTCTTTTTGATTTTTTCTGCCTGGATTACTGAGATGCATCAGGACATAAATAATGTACAGTTTTTAATTATGGAAATGGCATGTAATTTGTGATTTTTGTGTGGATTTCCTTTGTCTGGCACTGTGTTTGTTAGTTATGTTTGTAAATGAAGTGAAATAAAAATGAGGAATAATGTCCTAGTGAAAGTGAACGCATTAAAATGTTCTCTTTTGCAGTTTGCGTCTGCTTGACTTGATTATGAACTGTGGACAACCATGAGACAACATCCTGAAATTTGCACTAGACTGGAGGAAGTATTAAATCTAGGGTCGATGAGCAAAGCTCAATCATGGCTGTGAGGGTCGCGTTTCTACCGGTGAGCATTTGATTTTGGGTCAATTACTGAGCCGGGCTAACACAACCTGGAAGCTGAGCTCATGTGAAGAACCTGGAGAAGGTGTTTGTCTTCCAAACAGACAGAAAAATGGGCCTACCTGGGCTTTGAGACTAAATGTGGAATGTTGGCTCTCCAACCCTAAGAAAACCATCTGGATCTCACTGATCTTCCCTGACAGACGGAGCAAGACAAAGACAAACCCCGCTGGACAGATCAGACGAGTTGTTCTACAAAAAACACCTGTGTTCTTGAAAGCTTGTAATCAAACCCAAAATAAGGCTATAAACTTTTCATTCGCATTCACTACGTTTAGTTTTAAGCCACACGTTACGTATTTACATACTGAATCAGCTCTGTTGACCCACAGATCTGCAGCAATATTCAGACAATAAGCAAATCAGACACGAATATCCGCATGCCCACACACTTGGTTGCAAACACAAAAGCAGACACGCACACCCTGTTCCAGCTGTGCTACATGAAGCACAAGCCTCTGCAAGTCTCTTCTTTCACGGAGTACGAGCCGCATTCCAGCTGCTAATATGAACAGGACACTAAATTTAAAAAAAGCAGGGAAAGGAGACAAACATTTGATGATGGTCTCTCACGTAATCATTTCAAAAGACTACAGGCAGCACACACAGCTGGCAGCTCCTGACCCAGTTGTGAATCTGCAGGGTGGGTCCTGGGTATAGGATATGACACGGGGGAAACAAGGGGTTCTAATGTCATGGTTTTAAAAGGATGGACAAAAGGTGGTAAGCCYAGTTCCAGTTGCCAATCCAAATTATAGTTGGCTTGGTTCCATTGCTAACACTGACACCTGGCCTGCGAGCATCCTGCCTCGCTTCCTGTGCTGAGCCAGATGTTGCTTCCTCCGACCCGCTCACTTTCAGTCACAAAGTCACTTCCTCACTACTCCACTATGAGCTCATCATTACCCTCGCTGTCTTCAGATCTGAGGGCACGGAGAGGGGAAAACATGACGAAGTTCGGCTTGTCTGATGTCATCATTACAAACTTCAAGGCCCCTGAGATTAGACCAATTTCCCTACCTAGTTCTGCACTGCTTGAAGACATCTTGGAAGATTTCAGCCAGGGAAACATTAAGTATGATATAAACATCCATCTAGTTTCTGACACTTATCCATGGTTGAGTTGCAGGCAGCAGGTTTACTAGAGAAACCCAGACATCTCATTTTTCCAGGAACATTCTCCAACTTCTCCTAGGGGATCCCAAAGCGTTCCCAGACCAGAGAGGATACACAATCCCTTCAGCAAGTTCTTGGTCTGTCTCAAAGTCTACTCCCAGTTGGTCATCCCTGGAAAACCTCTAAAGGGAGGGGACATTCTAATCAGATGCCCACAACAACTGGCTCCTTTCAATGTGGAGGAGCAGTGGCTCTACTCCAACCTCACCTGGATGAAAAAGCTCTTCGTTTTATCTCTAAGGTTGAGCCTAGCCCACCTAAGAAGGAAGCTGTTTTAGCTGCTTGTATCTCATGACCACAGGTCAGGGTTGGAACATGGACAGATCAGAAAAATCAAGAGATTTGCTTTTTGGCTCAGTTCACCACAACAGACTAGACCAACGTCTTCATTTCTGCCAATGAGACATTAATCTGTTGATCCASCTTTCACTCCGTTTCTACCATCACTTATGAATTAGACTCCCAAATACTTGAACTTCTCTGATGGATTAGAGTCTCAGCCCAGACCTGGAAGGACCAATCCACCTTCTTCTGGTTGTGAACAACTGTATGGCCTCAGACTTAGAGGAGGTGACTCTCGGCCTACAGAGAAAAATTCACAAGACAAAAGCTCACAATATTTTCGATTTTTTAAATGCCAAAGATATAATATCTAGGACATCCAAGAGTTGCTCCCACAGTTCCTTATTTTAAGTTGTTCTCACCTTCTAACCTTCCACACTTTATTTTATTT